TGTTTTTGAGGCTATTTTTTGTCTAAGAGTAATCGCTGTGATGTATTAGATACATATATTATGGAGACTGATATTTCTGGCACTAGAGACTCTGTGACATGTGTAGATGGATTATCATCAAGACCAAATAAGCGATAGTAAAACCAGAGGCTGACCTCAGAAAAAGTGTGGACTGGATCAATAGAAACCACCAAATAAATGCTGTCATAGCGAGGCTCTTCTAAGCAGCAGCAGAACAGATTTCAAAATACACTGAGACTAGTCGTTACAAACTGACACTTAGCCCACTGCTATGGGCTTAGTGGCCTTAAGTGGCCTTAGCCCACAGGATTTCACAGACAGTTGTGTATCAGAAAAGGAGCTAGGAAGGCAGATCTTCCTGGCTGGAATGGATTAGAGAAGGATAATCGGTTGTGATCCCACTAATCCAGTTCCAGTCTATCTGGGGATTTTAGGCAAGAAGGCTGTGACAGAACATTTGTTACCTGGGCACTGGCAATGCGGTTGATTCCTCAGATTCCTCAACTCTGAAGTTGATTTCACTTAGGTCTTTTCTTCACATATATGTAGAGATGTACCTGTTTTCAATGTTTGTTTTTACTTTTAGCTGTACTTTCTGTATGCTTTTGTAATCACCAGGGCTGCTCAAGCATTGTCTCTTTGCTGAGAATTCCTATTAATTATAATCACTATAATTATAAAGTGTAAATTTTTCTACTTTTCTGACTTTATATTTTCAAAGATGGGGATCTCTCTGCTGGTTTACAAGACTCCTCTCACTTTCTATTCAATCTCTATAGTTTGATAGTTTCTGTAAGGCCAGAGTTGTACAACTGTCTGACTAAAGTAGAAAAGAATTATTGTTCTGTCAAATTCAGAAAGGATACTGTATAGGGTGGAAATAGAAAATAAGCAAAAGTACTACCTGTTGCTCATAAAAATGACACATCAAGAGAGATGAAGACAATATTATTTGTATTAAGAGTATGACATTAGGAGAATTGCCTGACATACTAACTTCCAACAGAAACTTTAACTTACCTTGGCTCTGTCTTTGGCCTGTGAATTAATATTCAAAATATCTTTTCTCTGAAAGCTTTCTTCCTTCACCTGGTAGCTTGTTCTGAAAATCAAAATGTAACTTTTTAGTTTATCCAGTTCCCTTCCTTCTTGATTTATGTTATCAGTATTGTAAATATGATGTAGCTGCTGCAAAACCTTATTGTGCTATCTGACGTGCAAATCAACCACAACTTGGAGAGAAGTTACTCCAGTTAAGAGGGGAGATTTGTGATGGAGCTGGATACTGCTGAAAATGTAGTTACACATCAGAACATAGAAATGCCTGAGCACAGAAATAATCAAGTCAATCATCTGCTCACACTGCCAGCAATTTTTCAAAGGAGACCTTACTGTAAACACAGTTTCAGAAGCCACAGAAAACCAACAGTGTTGGATGTCATATCTGGATTCCTTGTAAACAGCAACTATGTTGGGTGGCTGTGTCTGAACAGCTGACTTAAAATTATGTCTAACATCTCTGAGAGGAAAGCAGTATCTAAAAGCCCAGTCCCGTAACATGACAAATGCAAGTTCAAACCAGAACTGCTCAAAATTACATAAAGAGCTGTGCTAAGTCTTTCTCAGAGTTAAACATCCAAGTAAGCCTAACCAATCTTGAGCCTAAAACTCCCATTAAGGTAATAGCAAACGTTCACATTTTCCCAGTATCTGGTGGTGTGCTTCTGTGCATGAAGGAAAAAAAATAAAAATCACTTGCCAAACTGCACATGTACATAGGAACAAAACTGTTTAACCTGGTGTTTAAAGACATTACCTGAAAGAGATAGCAATCCAATTCACATCATTTCTCCCAGTCTTTATGCGAATATAAAAGATATGGCAATATTTTAAAGAAAAAAAGGGAGGTTTGGTCTCAAATCCAACAACAGTTATTACAAATCCTCAAAGGCTGCTTTGAAATAATTTAGCTATTCTCTGTAGTGGTGTGATTTTTTTTCTAAAATAATTCACCTCTATGCAACCCACAATGTGGAAGCAGTCAAAGTGATAAAATACATAATTTATCCCTCACTCAATAAGCTGTTGATGTATAAGCACATCTTTATCAGTACAGTGTTGTCAAAGTTAAGGAAACTACTTTAACTATCAGTAAAGAGAAAAAATGTTTTGTGTCTAAATTAACTTGTTAAGCCCAAGGTTTGAATTGGTGACTTAACTGGGAGCATTGCCATTCAGAAAGTTAAGCACATGCTTAAAAGTTTTTGAAGCCTTCATTTTGCTAAGAGTCAGCCTTCATAAACTCACAGCCTGACAAAAAAAGTAAATCTTGGAACAAGCCTGTGATTTGTGGTTCAGTAGAAACAAAAGAAGAAAAGAAAAACAAATAAAAATTTAAAAAAAAAATCCCAATTGGGCAAGATTTTTGGACTCTCAAGCACAGTTACTAGTACCTAAACCCTCATTCCTGAGGACAGAGATGCTTTTTGAGTTCAGGCTTTCCTGACACAGATGTCTTTTCTTACAAAAAGGGGTCCAAGAATGCCTTCATCACTTCTGTCAAACAAACAAACAAAAATAATTCCCTCTGATGACCCTATAGTTTCACACACAGAAACATGACTGATCAACCACTATATGATTCAATTATTTTTCACAGTGTATCCACTTTTAGAAAATTCTTCCTGAACAAAGCCTATTCTTTTGTTATCTAATCATCATGTGCTAGTTTTTTTGTTTGTTTGTTTGTTTGTTTTTTACCATTGAATAGTATTTTTCCATAAAAACAGACAAACAAAATCTTTGAAACTCTAGGTCAAGTACTTTACTGGGGGGTTGAAAAAGGGGAAACCGTACTAATTTTGGCCCACTATTATATTGCTTGGCAATGTGCACTGTACATGTGGTACTCAGCAAAACCCTTCCTCTTAATATTTTTCCCAGGATGTTCAGTACACTCTAAAATACTTCATATTAAAAGAGACAGTGGGAAAGTGGGACGGCTGGGAAATAAATAATTCCAGTTGTTTACACAAGGTACATTCCTCCCCCTTTGTTCCTATGCAATAAATCTTTTATTCGTATGACTTAAATATTGGTTTTCTCACATAACTGATATGACCAGTAGGCAAGCAGATAGGACACAGAGAACAAATAACAATGAGTTAAAATATGTTTATTATCCACAGCCAATACTAAATCTAAAATTATGTTTCAATCCAAGCTCTGGCAGGGTGCAAATTGCTATAGCATATGACACAAACATGCATGGATGGGATAAGGAAGAATTATAACCCTACTTCGCAATAGGGGCAATGCAGTTTCAGGAATTTAACACTTAAGTGTTTCAAGTATTTTATACCACAATTGGTCTAACAGTTGAGATGGATGAGTTCCTTATTGTCTGGTGCGAAATACAGGCTCCGGTACATTCAGATAGAAAAGGGTATTGAAACTTAGTTAATGAAGAGTTAATGAAATTGCTACATCAAATCCTTGTATACATGTACGTTACTGTTTTAGCTACAACACATTAGTGAATAATTCTCAGAAAAGAAAGAATAACATATAAGTTCAGATTGAGTTGTATGGTTCATTAATTTTGGAAGCATCCTCTGGTTTTTGACTACTTGTTATCTCAAAGAGACTCCATAGATAATCAGTTCAGAAATGCTGTTTTGACTTGATCCTGACTAAGATTGCAAATTATCAGGTAAAATTACAGAAGGAAAAATAAAAATAAGGGAAACACAAAAGAGAGAACACAGTGAAACAGTGAAGAGGACAGAGTAAAACGTGTGACAGAGACTGAAAAAAAAAAAATAAAATAAAAAGATTAATCTGCTAAGTGAAGAAAAAGCATGAATTAAAAAGAAGCCAGGCTCTTTTCAGTGGTGTCCAGTGGCAGGACAAGGGATAATGGGCACAAACTGGGGCATGAGAGGTTCTGTCTAACCATCAGGAAGCACTTCTGCACTGGTGGGTGGCACAGCACTGGAACAAGCTGCCCAAACATTGCAGATTGAAACAGCACCTCCTTAGTAATACTCATACTCTTATGAGCTACAGCCTTGAAATTACCAAGAGTTTGGGTATCTAGGTATTTATTTCTATTTTATTCACCTTGGGAATACAGTATCTGTTCACTTGGAATGTATACTATACAGCTTAGTTTGGCCCAAAATATTTGTAAGAAATAAATTTCATGAAATTGTGACAAAGGAAAATAGTGAGGAAAATTTCTATTTCTATTTCTGTTCTATTGAGAAGCAGATTATTTATTTTTTTTTCCCCATGATGAATTGAAGATGAGAGTTTATTTGGAATCCCTCTCTCCAGCACTGGACATGTATTGCAGCTTTAGGGCAGGACAGAAAAAATTCCATGAGGATTAGGGATTAGCTACAAATAGTAAGACGGTTTCTATTGTTTTCCTGGCTTGAGTAATGTAAATGAAAATATGCAAACAGCAGAAACAACGGAAAGTAAATTCTACTGTTTTTATTTGGTTTGATTTTTTTTAAGGTACTTTCAGTTCTAGGTTATTGGACCTTTGCTTTCATAGAGATCTCTGGCTACATAAAGGATTGATGCCTGCTCAGGGCCTAAACCCTGAAATCCTTATTCATTACTTCATTTTCTTGTCTTTGCACTGTACTTAACTCCTACCTTCAACTTGCTTGCATTTGAAAGTGAGAGAGTGGAAAGATTCTTTTTAGCAAAGGTTGCTACGTCATTCTCGTAACTTCAGTTTTTCCCTCTAAAATATCAAAAGCAAATAAGATTTTTAGGCTTCAGATTGCGTTACAGGAACAAGCTTTATGAACACAGCCTAAATTTCACAAGATTTGAGAAACTGGCAGAGTCTAAGCCTTGGAGACCATTTGTGCATCTAAAGCCGGAGCAAGCACAGTCCAGCGATGCAACCCTAATGTTAGAAATGAGACCGGGCGGCTTTAAGACAGAAACAGGAAGCTGTAACTAGAATCCAGCTGAATTCGGAGCTGGGGCACTTCACAGTCAGGCTGCAAATCAAGCAGATGTGCTTGCAGTGAATTTCTGTAGTGTCTGAACCTTTCTTTGTACTGAAGGTGACTACACCTTCCTTCCTCTGTGATTTTTTTTCTTTTATTTTGCATTCTTCATAAAGGGAATGAAATGGAGAAGTTGAAAAAATATGCATCAGTGAAAGATGAAGATCAGTTTTATCACCAGGGAGCTGTGGAGTTGCTCGTCTTTAACTTTCTGCTCATTCTTACCATATTAACAATTTGGTTATTTAAAAAACATCGATTCCGCTTTCTGCATGAAACTGGAGGAGCTATGGTTTATGGTGAGTATAAGTTCAAGTGCCAGTTTAACATGGAACTAGCTGCATATTTATGATCAGGCACTTCAAATGTGGGCTCAGAAGGCTCAGAAAACACACTCAATGAAGTGTCATCAGCCCCCTAACTGGGCAGTAAAATGTACTGTAACATCACCTCTTTTAAAGTTGCTACAGGTTGGCTTGGTAAGGGAGTGACTAATGCTAGCTGTTTATCCTCACCCTGTTCGCATTATGTTCCTGTATGGGCAGACAGCCACTGAATGACACTTTGTGAAGTAGGTAATTTACAATTAAAACACCCACAGTGAAAGAAGTTTAGTGTGCCTAAAGTTATTCAAAGGTTATAGACTAGGGAGCTTTGTGAATACACCCATGTTATCTAATAAGGCTTAAACTATTTTGAGACTTCTGTATTTTTTTTTCTGCTGTGCAGGCTACGAAGCAGGCTATGAAGAATGCCTCAAGTCATCTCTGACTGTTATCATTGTACTGTAATTTCAGTTTGCCTGTCCACTTCTAATCTTCTTTTGTGCTGTTTGGCAATATTGTGTATCACTTTGAAGTACAACCTTCCGCATTGCCTACTGGTAGGAAGTACTCGCTGGTTTAATGGTATACACTTAAGTGTATAATGACTTATCTGGTCATTCTCTCTTGCTATCACTTCACTTTTCCTCAAGTGTGCGATTATTATTTCTGTAATTATTAGACACATACATGTATGGTGTGTGTATAATATAGTCAAAATATTAGTCATTATACACCTTAATCCCAGGCTATTTTGACTGTTCTGTTCTGTGCAACTCATATACTCTAGCAGTGTCATATCCAAACTAGTTTTTCTAAGGGTGCATATTCTGAAGAATATTTATCATGTCACAGGTCACACAAAACTTCTGAAGTTCATCTGCAAGCCTGCAACAGAGAAGACAACTGTCCCCTATATTTAGGGGCAAACTTTATTTGCTCCTCCTATATGAAGCATTTTAAGATAATCTCAGTTCCAAAAGATTATTACAGCTAAAGATCACAGTCTTCCTTTTATTCCTTTCAAACTATTAAATAAATGAACAATATTTAAATGTTTCGAGAACACAGGCTATTTCATCTCGTTTCACTTATTGTCTTCACAAGTGACTTGATACTTTGAGGGAAAAGCAAGTTAACAAGAGACTTGTATTAAGCCAGTCACTGAGCTCCGAAAATGTGGGTGGGAAAGGCAGTGGGTTCTCTTAATTCTCACCTGCCCTGCATTTATTTTAAAGTCATGGGGGGCTTTTTCTAATCTTGAAGTCTGCCGTGCATAGAAAACACACTTCCATTGGAACAGTTGAGAGTGAAATTCATTACATGATACTTAGTTAGATGCAATAGTTTTCATTGTCAGGCATCACACAGATTGTTGTTTAACACTTTCTGTGTGTTACAGGCTGCCTAGCACCACCGAGACTACATTTACTTGTTGCATTTTTCTTAAAATCTGTCAGAAGGAAAAACATAAGATACCATGCAATATTTTTATTGTGGTCAATTTATAAGTTATGACAGTGTTCTAATTGCATGCATGGGTGACTTCTAAAATAGCTTCCCCTAATATTATATGGTCTCCTACATGCAACTGATGACAATTGCTGAAAATTTAGACAAAGGCATACCATAAAAGAGATGAAGTATGGGGGAATACAACATTAGACAAATAAATCAGTATTTATTTAAAGATTTAGTTATCTTTTTCCACTTTACTGTTTGCTCTGGTTCCATTTTGCTGCCTGCCCAGAACATAATCTGCCCATCATGAAGATAACCAGCTCATGATATTCTTTTGATCAGTTAAGAGACCAGTGCTCCATCAGGACAGAGATTTTGAATTATTAAAACATTCATGAATAAAGGAAATATTCCTCATGGTTGCAAATAAACAATCTATTTAGACTTGCATTATTTATGGCAGCCTTCAAACAGGGAAAAATGCTTTTTCATAGGATCTGAAGACCTGGTGATGTCCTTTCTATCCTTTAGAATTTTGAATATAGGTTTGGGCATCTTTATCATCAGGAAAAAGTGGTAACAAAAAAAAAGCAGAATTTCAGAGGTCATGACAGAGGTGTAGGATCAACTCGTAGCAACTCCAGGAGAAAAATCAGTTCAGGGGAAAATCTACAGGGGACCAAGTACTCACAGTCAGGTAAATCCTGCCTTCACTCACAGCACAGTTAAGCCTGAATGACTTTGGTACAACTGTTTTTCTCCTGCTTCACATAGGTGTTTTTGGTTGTTTGGTTGGTTTTGGTTTTGGGGGGCGGGGAGGGGATGTGGTCTTCATTATGAGAAGAATTCTCTTTTATATTTGTTTCATAAATAAATATATTGCCCTGAAATTTGCTTTACTCCAGCCCATGGAGCTATTTTCCAGATACATGAATGGCAGTACAAGCAGCTTATAAATTTTTCTTCAAGTGACAGAATAATGTAGCCACCTATTTGCAGACTGCGTCCCACAGTATGATAGATGGGTCAGTGTACTTATCAAGGCAGTATACTGTCAGGGGTATAGCAGAGGAAGGCATGGGGAGAGTGAAAAAGGAAAATCAGGAAGAAAGCACAGGAATACAAAAACAGGAAGACGTTTTAAATGTATTGCAAAATGCTGAACAGACAAATTGGACACTAAGAACATCCTGATAGCAAGTTCTATTTAAAGTATAGTGTTGGTTTTTTTTTCTTTGCATAAGCTTCTATGGAAAATGCAGCTTTTGGCCAAACAGTTTCAACTAAAAAAAAAATCCATACTTGAAAATAATCCATTTAGAATCTTTAAAAATGGAAATGTATTGATTTTTTTTAAATCAAGGCAATGTTTCTACACTAAATATAGCCATATTTACATTAATAATCTTTCTGTAGTTTACCCTCACCTTAAAAAAAGTCTACATTTAGTTTAAACTGAAACACTATTTCAACAAAAATGTCATGTATGTAAATATATGAGTACATATATATATTTCAAGGTGTTTACCTTGAAATTATTTACACACTCCAGTTGTTTTGTTTCAGTACCAAATTGAAAAGTCAGTTACTCACACAAAGAAGAAAAAAAAAAAATCACAGACCTCCCTGTTTATTCATTCATTCCTTTGTTTTTCAGTATCTTGGAGAACAAGTTTCTCTGCTTGCTTTGACAAACAGACCCCAAACAGCTGGCTCAGCTTACTTTCTGGTTTCTGTATATCAGGGAGGCAGGTGAAAGTTTTGTGCTATCCTGAAGGGAAAGAGCAAAATTTACATAATTAGATGTTTTCCTGTAATCCTGAAGAGTAAGCACTTTCTCAGACAAATTGGGCATGTAAACACAGAACAAGGCAAGGTTTCTAAATAAACTGGATGGGCATCTCTAAAGCCTACTATTCAGTTCCAGTAGGGCTAGATTTCTTTAGATACTTCATGAGCTACATCAGATGCCCAAATTCCCCATATAACACTTAAGTCACAGCATTCTGCAGTAGAGGGGACTAGCCCAGAGCTAGTTCAATGAAAATAAAATAAAATATAAAATAAAATAAAATAAAATAAAATAAAATAAAATAAAATAAAATAAAATAAAATAAAATAAAATAAAATAAAATAAAATAAAATAAAATAACTTTCTGATCCACCTCAGAACTTAGGTATCAGGGTGGAGATGCAGGTGTTACCAGATACATGTGATTAAGTTAAAAAAAACTCCTGCAAATAGGCAGTCAGAATTGAACTAAAAACCAAAAACCACCACACCAACAGGATCTGTGATGTTTATCTGCTAGGCTTCTCAGCAACAGCATTTAAGAGCTGTTCTCAGCTTGGTTTGTTTTCAGCCCCAGGAAACACAGGGTGAAGGTGAAACTGACTGGAGTGGTACCTGCCTTCAAAGTTGTGCTCCGTAGCTGATGCGACCAAAAGAAAAACAAAACAAGGGTAAATGGCAGAACATGGTCATTACAATGCCCAAGAGAGAGAAATTACTTCGTGTTAGAGGACTTAGAGCTACCTCCTGAAGTTTTAAGGGGATTGGAAGGCAAAGAGTAAGTCCATTCCATAAATGATGTACCTACTAAAATATTAAATACACTCTTCCCAGATTTTTAATTCATCAGGGTTTGTATAGAGAGTCCTTGGCACATTTCCTGTTACCAAAGGAAGAATGCTATCCCTGTATTGACTCCTGCAGCATAACGTAGTGATATAGCAATTGCCTTTGTTTGAACTTTCCACAGAGCACTTGAGAATATTCTGAATTGACCCATCATTACAGATCCCAGCCACATTTTGTTCAAATCTAAGACATGATAGAATACACTTGAGAGCTAAAAGGACCTCAGAGACCCCCAGATACCCTAAGAATATTGATCATTAGAATCTGCACTAATGTTATTTCTCCAATACATGTATGTTGTTAAAGACTCTTGCAATTTCTGTGTTCTTCATTATCACTTCATTATTTTGGTGGTTCAGTAAATTATCTAAATCTGAACTCCATCTGAGGGTAAGAAGTAAAGCTGTAGAAGAAAATCCAAAGGCAGATTTGAATTCCGGTTGTAATTCTTAGTCCATGTTGATCCTTATTTCTCTACAGCTACAGTTATCATATTTTCAAAATATCCCTTTTCTGCAAATAGATTTATGTATACTCAAGGGCTATTTTGCAGGATTATGATCAACAATATTTGCATTTGTTTCGATTCCAGAAAATTCCTGCAGAGGTAGCTTGAGACTGCTGCTGAAGATAACACATCTCAGAATACAAAATAAGAACAGTCCTTCTTCACTCCTAGTCTAAACTTGACACCCTTGAGCAATTTAGTGTTACTAATTATGTTACTATAGTGTTACAAATTATGTTACTATAACTGAGAACATTTATTTTCATTTTTTAAATTATCAAACAGAATTTGGTTCATACTATGTGCTATGAACATACTAGGAATCTCAAAATGTTGTAGGAAACAGTAGTTTATAATACCTGATAACAGGATTGGAACCAAGGCTATAGTTTAAGACAGAGTGACAGGTGCAGAAGTGATAAAGGGAAAAAGTTTTCCATGCCAGAGAATGAGGTGGAAACATCAAATCTTGTCCAAGCATCAAATGAAGAGGAGTTTTTAATGTGTTTGAAAATGAATATGAAAATAAAATGTGGTTTGTTTGTTTGTTTGTTTCAAGAGGAAAACTAATAAAAATAAGATGAAAACCCTGTCTGTTTTAACTAATTAATGGTTTCCTCGATTCTTAGTCATGATGCTGGACATCTGGAACTGATCACTGTAGAAATCATATTTCACAGAAGTACATGCAGTGCTTCCTTCCCTTTTCCCATGACTGCTTTCCCAAAAAGTTTTGAGGAATTCTGAGACAGAATTCTATCTTACTACAGCTAGATTTGTTATCTGATCTACTTCACAAATGCTGTGTAACTTCAGAAAGTAGTCTTGGCATTTTCTTCTGCTTATCTAAATCCTATACCATTTAAAGCAACCAGTCATACTAAAGAAGAAGATTCATGAGCCTACTAAACAGGCAGTGCAGCTGTTACTCTCTTGTAGCATCAATCCAGGAAGCTACAAGCTTGTGTTACATCATTGCTAGAAATTGGCAGTTCTGAGGTCTCTCTCAGTGCAGAATGTGAAAATAACAAAGACATTTACCTGTCCAGGTGTCCATGGTCACTTTCATCACCCATGGCATCTGATTACTTGAAAAAAATTGTCTTTCCAATTCCTATGAGCTATTTTCTGTACTTTGTTTCTTATTTTTCAATAGTAAGTATATCCATCTAGATGGCTTCCATAAATATTTAATCTGAGCATTCTTAGCATTTTACGAATGTGTTCATAATTGATAACTGCAAAGCTGTTCCTGTACATGGGACTTAAAGCACCTAGGACATGCAGGAAGTGTGGAAATTAAATTTGAAACCACATCCAAGTCTCTGAGGCTGGAAATCATCTCCAGTAACGTTATCTAACTAAATATTAGTTACGTCTCCTAAAGTAATCACTCAAACTCCCACTAGAGCTGAGAGATGAAGAATCACACCTTCCAGAGGGCAATTGCAGAAGTAATAACTATTAACTGTATTAGGAGCCAAAATGTCTATCTTAGACGCGTCCTACATTTTAGATAAACCAATTAATCCTAAACTTGATTTTCCTTCCTTCTGTTTGTATTCTCCATGTTTATACAGTCTCATAAACACACAGTCTTCTACAGAAAGCAGACTGACCCTGAGGATAAGGTTTCAGAGCTCACCCACCCCTCCACCCCCAAAATGAAGTTTGTAAAATCAGCACCAGTTGATCCCCTTTAAATATCTATTGAAAACAGTTTAACAACTCAGTTAATAACTGTACCAGAATGATTCCAACAACTGGATCACAAAAATAGGAGTATAACTGAGCACGTGGCAAAACAACATCACTATTCTAATGAACTGACTGCTTTGGAAGAAATTTCCTGGTCCTCCATGAAGTACTGCGAGAAATGTACCTTTGTGAAGGTAGAAACACCGAGAAAGTGGTGTCCCAGCTTTAGCAGAGCAAGAGCAGAGAAGTTCATTTTTTTCCAAGTCAGTAATTGTGCAACATCAGATACACAGAGGTACCTGAATGTCTTTGTTTGATTGTTTGTTTGTTTGCTTTTCTCTCCAGGCCTTGTAATGGGATTACTTATACGATATGCAACAAAAGCATCAAATGTTGAAAATGGAACTGTTTATGAATGTGAAAAGCTGGAATCTGGGCCATCCACCCTACTTCTCAATATAACTAATCAGGTCTATGAATACCAATACAAAAGAGAGATCAGCCATCACAATATCAATGGTCACCAGGGCAATGCAATGCTTCAAAAGGTAAATATATATATATATTTATTATAAACTGTGTAAGATATTTCTTTTATTTACACCCCCAAGAGAGAAAAACAAGTTTCAAGATAAAACATGACAGACACAGGCTATTTTGAATATAAGGTGAGAAGTGAAAGTGAAGGAGAACAACAAAGGAAATAAGTCACAGTAGAAATCTCACAATTGCTCAGCATCCAACTGGCTGCATGTTTGCAGAATAATTGCCTGAACGGTCCCACCTCCTGCAGACACTGAGTTCAAGGGGAGCAGACACATCCATTACCTTGGGTTCACTGCCATCACAGCTTCATAAACCCCAATGAAATCTTGGTCTGCTGTCATAAGAATGGCTTGCTCTGGCAGTATAAGCAGAGGAGGTTTACTTTCTACAAATTTGAATTTGTAAACATTATATGTCCGTACGTAGGTGTTCATTTTTTTGTTTGGTTGGTTCATTGTTTTTTTGCTAATGCTTAAATGCATTACAATGTTCTGACTCATTCCTGCAGCACCACAGAGGTTCTCAGCAGGGATTGCACTGGCTATCCCCAAGCTTCTGGAGACAGTGTTGCAGCAAGTCAGGCTGGGTGCAAAAATGGAAGTGTGGGAGAAGATTTAGAGTCCCTTACAATGTTGTGGCCTTTTCTGTCTTCCAATATGTGATAATTAAAATACTTTATTTATTTATTATATTATTTCCCACCCTTGCAATATTTGCTTCCTGTGATTGTCACTCTGTTAAAAATGACAGCAATTTAAAGAACTCAGGAGAGCAGAGGGGCTTTTTAAAATCCAGATTTTAAGCTCAAAGATATCGTATATTCACATGTAGGTTCTAAGCTCTTAGTGATGCTTTTACAATATTACAAAACATTATATATTATTTTGCTTTTTAACAATTATCATGGTTTATCTACTATAGTAATATATATTCTATTATCAGATTATTATAATACCGTTATCATGATACAATTATTTTTTTAATTATGCTTATAATATACACTGGGCATCTTGGCAGAATTTGGATTTAACCATCTGCTGAAATTCCTTGCTAATGAAGGACCATTGTGGGCCTGCCTGTAGTTACTACTGGACTCTTGCTCTTCTCTGAGAGAGCTAGACATTCAAGGCTAGGAGAGCTGTGGTGGGTGGGGACAGGAAGGCACAGTGGTAGTCACACGAGACAGATCTTGCTGAGTCTTCATCCTTTTTCCTGCTCGTAGGTTGCAGTTGGTTTGTCTTAGTCTAAGCGTGTGTTTAGTTCCCAGAGCATAAGTACTAATCATTACATTTGAACATCTTCATCAGACATGATATACTGAATCTAGCTTGTGTTATGAGAAAGGAGGAGGACTAGCTCACACAAAAGTCCCTGTTGCAGTTACAGGGATTGCCCAATCCCGTTTCCATAGTCCCAGTTCTTAAAAGTCTCCACTGTGAATTGTGAAATTCTTTATATGACAGGAAAGGTCTCAGACAGCTAGGATTTTCACTCCTTTTCCCTTTAAAATTAACTGGCAAGTGCCCCTGTAAAAAGAAAATACATAAGAAAGGAAAGAGGGAGGGATTCAACAGTATTTAGGAGACGAAAACAATGCCTGGCAGCCTTCGTGGCTATGGCAAAAGCACTGATATACAAAACAGAAAACATGATCACATCATGCTCTGTTTTTTGTACAACTGCAATCCCCTTTTGACTGCAGTGTAAAGGATTATTAAGTGCATTTATCAGAAATAATGGACTGTCCCGTAATGTACAAATACATATCCTTTAGAGCACAGTTTTGAGTAGTAAAACATGCATTCGTGATTTCTGATACCTATGGAAAAATATTTTTAAATATTTGCTGAATTAGTTCCAAAACTAACATTTGAGACTGTTAGTTCAGAAGTGAAGAAAATTCATTTTCTGTTGTTTTCCATGAAGTTACCATCAGAGCTGAAATTGCCAGCACATTATTGGCCAGCTGGGTTTGTTTGTTTTTTGTTTGTTTGTTTTTAATTTTATAATTCAAAGTTAGCAGAAGGGGGAAGGGGGGGGGAAGGCTGAGCTCTCACTTCCTGTTTATCAAATCAACCTATCTGTTACTAAGAAGACAAAAGTAATTCTGTACTCAGCTCTTACTCTTCTGAAGCTAAATAATTCATCTGGTATACTGTAGCCTTAATATATCATTTCATCCGAATAAAAGGAGCTGCAAGCCATTGCACTAATTATGTTCTGTCTCTTTTAAAGGTATTGATATAATATAGCTGCTGACAGAACAGTGAACAGTATGGAGGCTTATTAAAACATTTTTTTCTTCTCCAGCAATGCCACAGTTTTAAACAGCATTCTGTTTTATTGAAAGTTACTTGAAATAAAGCGCAGTGACTGAACATTGTCCTTTGTCACTCTCCATGCCTGAAGTTGAAGGCAAATATGAACAACATATTGACAGCTGAAATAAGAACTTTTTGCCTTGCCTAAACTCATCCTCATTCTAGCATTACTTTAAAATTTTAATAGGTATTTTATATATTGTTTTTGGCTGCTGTAGAAACAAAAAGGTGTTTCACATCTATAAAATAGTGTTAGGTGAAGAATGCACTTTATGTGTACTCTAGATGCTTTTCCAGTTTCATGACACTTAAATATTTACAATTACAGTCAAAAAAAAAAACAAAGAATGAGACTGAAATGCTTCCTATTTTCTGTGGTGTTTCAGTCTTTTTCTACTACTCTAAGGTCTGTCTCTATCTACTTAGGGGATGATTCTGTCAGTGTAAAGCTGGTCTTATGGTCCCAGGTTTATGCCACTCATTGATCCCCTTTTTATGCCAGGAACACACTAGAGGAGGAAAGGAGGACAGCTGGCAGATTTATGAAGGTGGAGCTTGTTCTCTTAGTTTCTTGCTGAAGGGTAATCCCAGAGCTCACTACTGACTAACGTAAATCAATACTCTCTGTATGCACGTACAAATGCATCAGGAGAATGTGAAAATTAAGTATCTCTTCCAAGGAGGATAAAATGACGCTGAACATACTCTAGGTTAAATGCTTAGAAAGATGATTTCTTACCAAAAAACTCTTCATCGTGTTTACATACTCTGTGAAATTCAGGTTAAATAGTTCATCCTGTAGCTTTTGGTAGATAGTTTGAAGATCCCACACCTAACAGAAAGAGGAAATAATGAACTAGCTTTGTGGTTGGTATGCACTGATAGTTTCTCTGAGGTTAAAAAATTTATGGTATTTTATACCAGCTGATGATCTGACACTATAAAAACTTATGCCTTGACAATTCTCCAAAAAAAATAGTTATAATGGAATGGGAAAAAAAATGTTTCTTTGGTTACTGTCTGCAAACAAATTAAGTTTTTACTTTTATAAAAGAATGCAATAAATCAGTTCCTTAGGCAATGTTTACAGACTGTACAAACATCATTTTTTTCTGCAGTTCAGATTGCTGCTTAGCTTATAAAGCAGTTTTTATTCTTTAAATATTAAAACCAAGCTGTATAATGTCCTTGTTTTCAATTTAAAATTTTGTTAATGACAAGATAAAATAAGAGTCAACTTAGAAAACAATCACTGACTGACTGTCAAATCTGTTGTTGAGGCATTGCAAATAAATTGGACCTCAGTCTATTTGCAACGCAAAGGCAAACAATGTTAAAAAGGTAGAAGACAAATACACCCTGATGTGAACCTCACTTAAAGCAAATATTTTATACATATTTTCTTTGTGTTCACTCAAAGTTAGCCATTAATCTTTATACAACACCTAGCTGACAGATTCTATCAGTGTTAATATGGGGAGGGGAGGTTGCTTGCTTGTTTGGTTTTTGTTAGGTTTTGTTTGTTTTTCAAACAGATGCACAGTTGTGCTTTAAATACCTAAGGAGCTTTTTTGTAAATGGTCACAGAAAAGATAAATTGACTCAGTGTCTTTTTGACAATCTTTATTGTAGCTCTGCAAATAAATATTACCGTATAAACTGTAGTTTATTACAATATTCATGAAACTCCAGCTTCTACCACATGCCTGTAACATTTCCAATGATCTGTATAGAACTCTGTGTGAGATGAGGAGGCCTCAGAGTCTGCATAAATTACTTAGCAACTTTCAAGAGTGGCTAAAACTCATAAAATTTCAAAACTAAAAACTTAGAATACAATTATTTAGAAACCTCTTGGGGACTTCTTTTGTAGATAATTGTGTATGTTTTAAGTGATACTGCCTTTTAAGAATTTTTAGTGGGAAACTATATTAAAAGTCCACAAAAGATGTGATCACCGAGAGAGCTCAGGAGAGCTCGATGAGGACCAGTGAGTGCTCTAGGCTGTGCTTTCCATGTATGTCTGCAGTGAAGTTCCCATGCAGCACCTTCAGCTTTACACTGAAGGAGGCAGTAAAATAAATTCTCATTCCTTAAAAAACAAAAGGGAGACACAGGCTGTCTGTCCTACACACATAAAGAGGTTCCTTATGTAGGAAGATCTCCTTATGAAGATGGTCAGGGTGTGCACAATTTTCATATGTCATGGTTTGATAAAGTACGTATTAGCTGACAGCCAGTAGCTCATTAAGCAACATTAGCTAACTCCATCTATAACTATATAGAAGTGCTTTGAAGGAAAAACTACTTTGGTTTTGGTATCACAGGTCTTTTCTGTTACTGTCATTCGTTAAGTGGGGAATTGAGACACAACATTCATGTCTATATCAGAAACGAATTAAGCATGGGACTGTCAAATTGGATGGTCTCACAGTGCAAGTACTTAATAATTTTAATATGTCTTTACTATCTCTTTCATCTTTTCTGGCAGATGACATTTGATCCTTCCATATTCTTCAACATTTTGCTGCCACCCATTATATTTCATGCTGGTTATAGTTTAAAGAAGGTATGTGCCTCTTCCTTATATTACAAAAATGGCTGAATGTGATTGCTGCTTTGTAGATCCAACAGGCCAGAAACATAGAAAAGATTCACTTCATATTGCATGGCAAGAACTTGGCAAAAACGGAGGAAAATGCAAGATGCATGGTCCTCAGTCTGCTCTGTGTCTGAGTCTGTGTCTGTGCAAAGATTTGATTTTGCAGTTTGTAACTGTTGGGCATTGCTCTTTTCAGAAGAGGCCACTTTGAATCTGGTAACACTGCAAACAGGCAGCAGCCCACCTGTGTTTTGTATACTGCATGATCAGGACTTAGTTTGCTTCAGGGATGAGGTTATGATACAGTTTTCAACAGATACTTTCAGTGTGAACTTCTGTTATGACCCTGAAGCATTTGGCTAGATATATAAAAAGAGGGAATTTTAGTGGCACTCCAAGAGGCAAAAAGTGAATGAAATCATATCTTCCAAAATAACTTCTGTAGCCTATATTGTTTCATTAATATCTGAGTTACGGGTTGTAACAAGAAAAAGAATGGATGGACTGGCAGTTCTGGATGCAGTGTTTCTACTTGGTTTGCATGTTCTTTTACTGACTGTATTACAAAGGACTTTTTTTTTTTTTTTTTTTTAATTTTCCTCCTCAGAGACATTTCTTTCGTAACTTAGGATCAATTTTAACCTATGCCTTTTTGGGAACTGCCATCTCCTGCATTGTCATAGGGTAAGTGAATGTCTTCTGCTATTATTGCTGAAGTCATTATTGGTGTTCTGTATTTTTTTCAATTTAAAACTAAACTGTAGAAAGAATTGCTGGCTTTGCATGGTCAATATAATTCACAACCTGTATAACAGATCAAGTAATTCTTTTATCAGGAAATGCAGAGATTGAAAAGACAAAACTCTCAGGCAATAAGAATTGTCTAGGACACTCAGGAAATTATGTCCTGCATTCCTGGTCTGTGACTGATACAAGTATGACCTACTTTCTACAACTGTAGCCTTAACCATCTCTCCTAAGAAAAGGAACCATTCTATCCTTTGAAATTCCGTGCTTCTAACCAGCATTCCTTTTATTGGACACCAAATCTATGACCGAAGAGGAAGGACTTTAAATCTCACGAGGGAAGGGGAAGAGAGGGGGGACAAATACATAGTGGCATAAATGTAAAATTCCTGGAGTCATTTCTAAGGCCAAGTGAAACCTTTTAGTTGAAGGTCATGCTAAACACCTCACTATGAAATTATAAGCAAATTTAGCTATATGATATATATATATATGGTAGGACTATACTGCTGATATGACTGAACACATTTATGGCATGACTAAACAATTTCTGCAGAAAAAGACGGAGAATAAAAGAGGGGTGAAAAATGTTGTTCCATTTCCATTCTTCCTAAGTGAAAATTTTCTAATTTTGTTAAAATTTGCCTGATTGGCAAGTCAGAAATGGATTATTATTTCCAGGCTGGCACAATGTGGAATTTTTGTTTGTTTCATTAGCTCAATCAAAGTAGGTAAACCATTTAAAAATCCTTTTCCCCATCTTTATTTGCACTAATACCTACCTCAGTAAGACCCCAGCTATTAAAGTTGCTTCTTTTCTTGCCCATGAAAGGTGTAACACGCCTAAGTTTCAAATAATAAGTTCAGCAAAAATCTTCATTCTGCTAACAATTTGAGCCAAATACTGACTTATTACTGAGGTAACAGTGGTTCTGGATCTCATTAGGACTCTTCCATGCTTCCTCTCACTTGTTGTAGCTATTGAAAACTCATGTAAAACAATTTCTAATAGCTCTGTTGGACTGCAGAAAAGTAGTAGGGCTGTCCAGCCCAATGATGCCTTTAAAAATGTATTTGCTTTCTGAACTCTGACATGTGTTATTGCCATTGGTAAATGGAAAATGCCACAGCAGCTTCAATAAGCTTGTTAAAAGAAATATAATACATTAAGTTTATCCTAAATTCCAAATGTCAGCATTCCTGTACCCATGGTATTTTATGTAAAACAGAGTAAATGCAGATGGAATCTAATACAGCAAGTTCCTACTAGTTTTAGCAATTCAAAGTTCAAGCCCATAGTCAGGAAACCCTAAGGTAAAGAAGTACTGAGCCTTGTACTGTGCTCCTTACAAAGTCACAGCTCCACTGAAATCATTGCAGCAAAGGCACATAATATATTCAGAATAAGGCATATTAGAATGTGAAACATGTTTGCCTACCATACAGATCAGGATAAGAATGAGGCAATGAGCTCATGAAGAAGAAAGAAAGATAATACAAAAGCTTTACTGAAGGGAACTATAAATAAGTCCTAAAAGAAAAACTTTTCCCAGGAGAGAAGGGATGAAGAACTATAGTTCTTGTTACAAAAGAAAGGACAGAATCCTGAGGTACTTCTAGACTGCATTGTTGTAGATGAATATTTTGTGCATAGCTGTGAGTAAACATGTATTTACTTTTTATTACATATGCACAACAATATATCACAGAATCACAGAATCACAGAATTTCTAGGTTGGAAGAGACCTCAAGATCATCGAGTCCAACCTCTAACCTAACACTAACAGTCCCCACTAAACCATATCCCTAAGCTCTACATCTAAACGTCTTTTGAAGACTTCCAGGGATGGTGACTCCACCACCTCCCTGGGCAGCCCGTTCCAGTGCCTCACAACCCTTTCAGTAAAGAAATTCTTCCTAACATCTAACCTAAAACTCCCCTGGCGTAACTTTAGCCCATTCCCCCTCGTCCTGTCACCAGGCACATGGGAGAACAGACCAACCCCCACCTCGCTACAGCCTCCTTTAATGTACTTATACAGAGCAATAAGGTCACCCCTGAGCCTCCTCTTCTCTAGGCTGAACAAGCCCAGCTCCTTCAGCCGCTCCTCATAGGACTTGCTCTCCAGGCCCCTCACCAGCTTCGTCGCCCTTCTTTGGACCCGCTCAAGCACCTCGATGTCCTTCTTGTAGCGAGGGGCCCAAAACTGAACACAGTACTCGAGGTGCGGCCTCACCAGAGCCGAGTACAGGGGGACGATCACCTCCCTAGCCCTGCTGGTCACAGTGTTTCTGATACAAGCCAGGATGCCGTTGGCCTTCTTGGCCACCTGAGCACACTGCTGGCTCATATTCAGCCGACTATCCACCATCACTCCCAGGTCCTTCTCTGCCTGGCAGCTCTCCAACCATTCCTCTCCCAGCCTGTAGTTCTGCTTGGGGTTATTGCGCCCCAGGTGCAGGACCCGGCACTTGGCCTTGTTGAACTTCATACAGTTGACCTCAGCCCATCGGTGCAGCCTATCCAGATCCTCCTGCAGAGCCTTCCTACCCTCGAGCAGATCGACACACGCACCTAGCTTGGTGTCATCTGCAAACTTACTGAGGGTGCACTCAGTGCCGTCATCCAGATCATTGATGAAGATGTTAAAGAGGACTGGCCCCAGCACCGAGCCCTGGGGGACGCCACTAGTGACTGGCCTCCAACTGGACTTGACTCCCTTTACCACGACTCTTTGGGCCCGGCTATCCAGCCAGTTTCTAACCCAACGAAGCGTGCGCCAGTCCAAGCCAAGAGCAGCCAGTTTCTTGAGGAGAATGCTGTGGGAGACGGTGTCAAAAGCCTTGCTGAAGTCAAGGTAGACCACATCCACAGCCTTTCCCTCATCCACCCAGCGCGTCACTTTGTCGTAGAAGGAGATCAGGTTCGTCAAGCAGGACCTGCCTTCCATAAACCCATGCTGGCTGGGCCTGATCGCCTGCTTGCCCTTCAAGTGCCGCATGATGACTCCCAAGAGGATCTGCTCCATGAGCTTCCCTGGTACTGAGGTCAAACTGACCGGCCTGTAGTTCCCCGGGTCTGCCCTCCGGCCCTTCTTGTAGATGGGCGTCACATTTGCTAGTCGCCAGTCAGCTGGGACCTCCCCCGATAGCCAGGACTGCTGATAAATGATGGATAGGGGCTTGGCCAGCTCCTCTGCCAGTTCTCTCAGTACCCTTGATATATGTACATATGTCATACAATCCATATATATGTACATATGTACATCATGTAATCCATATATGTACATCATATATATCCATATATATGTACATATGTACATCATGTAATCCATACATATGTACATATGTACATCAATCCATATATAGGCTCTGACCTATACGCTGCGTATCTGCAGCCTCTCATTGGGACTGGGCTCTCCCTGTCACAGCGAACTACAAAACACCCCATTGTGACCTCCTTCTGTGGTTTCTGCTGTAGTGACTGTACAGCTGATAAAGAAGGACCAGACCTCTCTTTGTAAACCAGGAATATCTTTCATCTGGGAAATATCTTTAATAAAGAACAGGAACAGCAGTTGCAGGGTGCAGACTCTATGAGTGCTAAAAAGTTGCCATGGAACACTCTGGCAAAGCTGCCACAATGGTGCCCATCTCCTCATGGTAAATTTTTGCTTTTCTGTGAAAGTCTTCCAGCACCAAGAAAGAGGAACAGTGTAGAATTTGAGTGAAAAGGCTATAACCAAATAAACACTTTCTCCCACATTTATTTCAAAACTGTTTATGAAGAAGCAGGGAAAAGGCTTAACTGCTGCTTCAGCAAGAAATGGTGGTCTCTTTCCTTAAATTTTATTTTTGATAAACTCTGTTATTTGATTGGATGTATCTTCCTGAATTGATGATATTTTCATATGGTAGATAATGGTAGATATTTTCTATTTTGATGCTGGAAGAGTGACCAAGAAATTGGAAAAAAAATGATTCTATGATAACAACCCATCAGAGCGACATATGTCAAGTGTCAGGGGAGTACAAAGATTTGCATTTTTTCCCTCTTGAAATCACCTTGACTTCTTAGATCAGCATTCCTAGTTGCAGCCAGGGCCAAGCTGTCTGTGCATAGGAGCATGGACTTCATAAAGCTGGCCTTATCTGTGATTTTTGGTTCTGCTTCACTCGGGTTCTCTCATATTGCAAAGCCAAAACCACATTTTAGGTACTCAGAATCCAGTATGTTCGCAGTCATTTACTCATTTTCCTAGCCTGTGTAGTAGGCTTGGCAAGGACACATTTTTCTGGAATTTAAAGCCCTGCGAGTGTGCAACTCAAATAGCAAAACCATTTTCAGACAACTTAGGCCGAGTTTGAATTGCCTTCATGGCTGCAGTGAAAATTTTGCTTGAATAAAGCTCAATAAAATAAATAAATAAATAAATCGTGGTTAAATCAGAGAAAAAGAAAAAAGAAAAAAAAAAAAAGAGCAGTTGTGCTTTCAAGACAATGAAGCCATGAAATACAAAGAACAGATAATATCAATGCTTGGACAAGGCAGTCCAAGATCATCACTGTTGCTTATTCAAAGCAAAGTTTGTAAAAGCATAGCAGTTCACACCAGAAAAAGTCTGATGCCTTTTTGATTTCTCCTTCCTATTTAATTTCACTTAGTCATTTTTAAAAAGTGTGCAGTTCAGGTAGAAAATTTATGGCTAGCTTTAACTTGGTAGCAGAAAATCACAAGGCCTGTAAGAGACACAAGCTAAATGTGGACAGTTACTTTTTTCCATGAACTCCATTCCTCTTTTATGATTCAACTTTTTCATTCTGGCATTCTTGCAAAAAGCACCCTTTTGTATGCTAGTCCATTATAGCTGTCTCCTGTTCAAAGCTCATTTCAGTTTTATATCATTCTGTCTTAGCAGTTTGATATTATCTTGTAT